TCTTGGAACCTATCCCTATTTGTTACATTGTAAAGTGGGTTCCTTTTATGCAAATCCAAGTTATGCGCCATTTTTCAGAAACACGTGTACAGCATAAAGCGAGGGAACCCTGTACAGAAATGCACTAGTTGATCTCATAAGGGTATCACATATATGTTGTTGTGGTATTTGACCAAGCAGAGAACCTCCCACTCATCTCGCACGTGATCAAGGATTAGCCGGCACCCCACAGTTTCCAAACGCTCTGGTTTGTTTGGGCTGAGGCTGTTGGTCTGGGCTTCTTTTCTTTGCTGTCTTCCAGCTTTTGCACTGCTTTCCTGTCTTTGGCCCAGCAGCTGCAGTGTAACCAATACATCCTGCTGTGCTTTGTTGCATCCTGTAGGACCAAATTCAGAAAGTTCCCTTGATGCTGCTGGGGAAACAGGTTTGGGGAGGAGGGTCTTGGTCCCTGTGGACTCATTTCATTTGGTGACACAGCAGACTAGGAAGGGATGTTTTTCTTTTTTTTTTTTTCCTTTTATACAAAATATCTGAAGGGTTGGTCCTTTTTAAAGGGCTTGGTGACTAAAAATAGATGTTTGCTTGTCTGGAATATTAGTGTGAATCTCCAGCAGGCTGCTATTCAGCGCTGACCTTCAAAGCTGAAAAGCCAGCTGTGTTAAGTTTGTTGCTTCCTGCTTTCACCTTTGTGAATTGACTGGTGACTACCTCCTGCACCGGGCTATTTAAAGGGGAGATTTGCCTCTTGTACACTGCAGAAAGAGCCAGCTGATAGAAACTGTGCTTGCTCCTTCAAGTGGCCAGCAGTTTTACACAGAAGAACCCAAACTGACAGATTTGGGGCTCAGTCCAAGTCAGTCCAGGCAGCATTTTCTGAGACAAACTCCTCCACTGAGAAATAATTGCAGCTGCAAAACAGTCTTTAAGGATAAGAACATGTGTTTTTTCCCCACTGGGGCCCTGCTTCATTCAATGCATGGGATGACCCTGCTCTAGTCCACAGATCAGAGTTGTCTAGACAAAGCGACTAGTGTCTGTAAGACCCCTGCTTCATCGGTTCCAGAAGCTGCAAGGTGTGGCATGGCTGACACGGGGCGGGGGGGCTGCAGGAAGAGCGGTGCTAGCTTTAGGGCTCGGGTAGTGGAAGCCTGCCCTCGAGAAGAAGATTCTTGTCCAGGGTCACACAGGGACTGCGTGGTGGAGGCAAGTCACCTGAACCAAACTTGCCTTGGATGGTCATTTGCTGCAAGTTCCCCACGCCTGACCTGAAGGCTCTGATTTGCCACAGTGTTGAGCATTCACAGCTGTGCCTGAAGTCGGTGAGAGCCGTGCATTAAACAAATAACATCCTTTATAATGCTCAATACTCTCAAAAATCACATCCTGTGTGTCTCGGTTTGGGAAGCCAAATTGACCTCCCTTTCTGTCTGGCTCAGTTCAGAATGGTTCCCATGCCACCTAGTGGCCCATTATTGTAAAAGAGCCTACTGCAGGCAGCCAGCTTGGGAGGCATAGTCCTGTGTGTGCTCCTCACTGGGCCTGCCTGCACGAGATGTTTACTGCACACCTGGCTAATTAACTGCACAGTAAATGTCTCAATATCTG